TCTAGCTAGTTGGTCAGCCGTCAAACATTCAACTGAAACGAATAATGTTTAACGAATCATGTTTCGTCTCCTCCATCCCGTCCTTTCAGAGGAGAGAGATGACAATGACCTCTTGTTTCGTTGTTTAGTGTTGTTGGTGTTTCGCCTGGTTGACGTTGGCACTAACGCCGGAACACGAACGATCATTCTTAACCATGACCATGCTCGTTCGATATGAACTATTGCCACCACACCCATTGTCGTCACTTGTGGCCGCTTCCGGACGACCAACGTCCGTCTGTCGTGCCTCCCCTCCCCGACGCGGACTGCAAAGTTTGGACTAACCAGTTGACCCCTTCCTCGACCCCCGACCCAACCAGAGCGTTGCTTTTCCTGTCAGCGCAAGGAACGAGAGAAAGAGAGCGGGATGAGTCGGATCTAGAAATGCATGACACGAACGAAACCGTCAACGGCAGACGTACTTTCGTTGGTACTCAGGTCAATACATGGCGTGCAAATACGCACGTACGTGGAGTACGTGCCACATGGGACTACGCGCTACGATTTGAGTACCCCTGGTCAGGGTTGAAATGGTGAGGTTACCAACGTGTTTTCGTAGGTTCGGGCGTCTTATTGCTCTTGTATTTTCCCCATTTGTCTACCAGTATATGGTATGCATACGGCTCGTCATCGAGAAAATTATTACCGCTAAATATTCTCCACCAGCCCACCTCACCGCCTTGTGTGTACAGATGGCGATCCCCTTTACGCCACATAAATCAACACTAATGTACCAGTGCAACACTGAGGGAAACTGCCCGCCAGACGCTTGATAGTTGGGGCTGAATTGGAACGAGCGAGGGACGATTGTGTGTGAACTGCATGCACTAACGTTCACGCATGCTTCCTTTTCCTTGTTGCCCCTACAGCCAGAAGAAGGGCACGTAACACGCCGGGTGACCACAGAGTGGGAGACTTTCTGCAATTCGACTTGCAGGATTGAGGGGACTTGAGATCTCACGGCCCGCGCACACCACCAACAACCTGAACAGATAAATCAACCTCCAAATCGTCCGGCTGCATCAACATACTGTGCCCGACCTCACCATATATCAGTGGCAGTTGACCAGGAACATTTTTGGACTCGAATACAAGTACGTCCTTCGTCATGAGGCATGCAATACATCGCCCTAAATAAGGATATCTTCCCTGCAACGCTAAGAGGCACACGAACGATGTTGTAAGTCCTCACTCGATGTGCCATGGTGTTCGCTCGTCATTCAATCCGCTCAGTCCGAGTTCATTGGCACATTCCTGCTGCGACATCGATCCAGGCAAGTCGCCCTTGTTGGCATACACCAGGATAGGCATGCGTGAATTTTTAACCTGCAAGTCGTGTGAGCCATCCATCCACGTTTCAGCGTTTACATCGGGGTCTGCACCATGAATGTAAACCGGAAAACGTCCCCACAACGCGTCGACAACCACGTGAATGCTTTTGGAATGGTTGTTGCCTTGAGCACCTGTGGTATAGGTTTGGCGACGTTTTACATCAGCAAACTGCTACTGAAGTATTTTGCGTAGGTGATACCCGTGCAACCGAACTCAACTAGTGTCTTTGGGGATACTGCGCATCCGTGTCCACCAAAAAAAAAAAGGTGCGCGAGTGCTCTGTTTTGTCATGCGCTTCTCCTACTACGACGCGAAATCCCAGGCTGTTGGCACCATAACATTGTGGCTCAGAAGCTTGCAGGCGAATCACGACGTGCGCCACCAACCGATCTGTGGGTGAGAGGGTCCCCCTCCCGACCTTCGAACTACCCAACCATGAACGTACACCGACGTGGTAGCAACCACGCCTGCACAAGCTCCAGTCAATTCTGAATGAACTTTTTCATGCTCCACATTTCTCCACCAAATAGGGTCGACCAGTGTTTGTTGGGTAATTTTTCCGGGCAGTATTGACGGCGCAAACCGACCAACTTCTTACGTTGCACTGGACTTTGTTGCGACCAATTGTCCCCCAAAGAAAAGCACGATAGATCACAGGCACGTCCTTGCTGGCAAGGAGCTCGTTGCTTGCCTCGTCGTGCTTGAGAACCTCTTCGAGCTCCTCCCTCGCAACGCACATCCGAACCCGATCAGTGCTATCCACCACGAAGATAACGGCATGGACATTGCTGTTGACACGTATTTCGACGGGTTAATACAGGACAAGGAGAGCTGTCGACGACTGCTGCAGGACGGACAAAGAATAGCCAAGCACCGGTGGTAAGCCAACAACCTGGAAGACATATAATTATCCCGGCTATAGTTTCGAGATGGGGCTTGCGTAAGACCGGTTGGGTTGCACAGCAATACCAAATATCTGTACTACTTGGCTGCGTTATTTCGTTCTTCGGTACGCACATACAGAGTATATCGAACGAGAATAGCATCGGCAGCAACATACAGTCCTGGTGAGGATGAAGTGAAAGCAATCCTTTTGCAGTAGCACCCTTCGCCTGTCAGGTTCTACGTCGGGCTGTCTACTGCGAGCGACGAATTTGCCACTGAGAAAAGCAGTCTCAGCTGGTGTCAGCCAAGCGCGCACCAAAGCTGTAGGGGAACCGTTGATTTTCCTCCTGTTATCGCTGCACAAGCACCGATGGAGTGACCCTGTTTGCCCAGGCTACCGAGAAAATACTTGTACCGTAGTGGCAATATTGGCCGAACTGCTTGTCCGGTGGCCCTCCGGCCGTACCAGGTTGACTCGTCTACTTTCGTTTACCTAGTATTGAGAAAGACCCAACAGAGCACATACTCGAGGGATCTGTAAAGCGAGAGGCTAATGAAGAGTCAAACGGATTCTAGTCGGCGAAGACAACATCCGAAAGGAAGGGCAGAAAGGCACAACTGGGGCTGCCTCTCTTGATGTATGCTGGCTTGTGATTGCCACTTGCCTGCAGCTCTCATCCGATCATTGCCCACAGGAGGGATGCGGCTGTACTCAAGCGATTGCAAGTGTACTCAAGGAAACCACAAACACCAATCATAGCCGCTCACCAGAAATAGTGTTCCCAGAGCGTGCGGTACCTCGACTGCCCGGACATATCGATTACCGTGAAATTAAGATTGTCCTTGGCAAACTCCTGCACTTGAAACCCTACAGTGGGGGTTGCCTCGAACGTGCTCGCCTGTTCACCCCACCCCACCCCGCCAGAGCGAGTTACGTAGTGTTTGTTACCGCTCCTTCTGATCAAGGTAGGCACATCTGTGGCCCTTCTGTGGCCAGGAAGAATCCGCTAGGTGGTGAAGAATGCATCACCGACGCAATACTCTTCAAAAATGTGGTCCATTCCCGGGGAAAACACAACACTTGAACATAATTGTTGGTATTCATTGTTTTGTCGCGTGATGTCATCTTTACGCATTTACGCGACGAGCATCTGCAGTCGATTGTCGCACAAAAATGTCTTCCCTACTCTCCCGGACACTGCTGATGTATTACATAGTTGTGCTCTTCATCAAGTACGTCGGTACGTTTGATTGCCCGATGGCAGGGAGACCGAGCCACGTCAACAAGCAGCTGAATGATGGTCATATAGTGGCAAAGGTAAAATTGGTGTAGACTGCTGTAGATGGCAAGGACTGCTGCTGTACATTCAGTAGTCTACGGTTGACCTGCCACCAGCACAAGACAAGTATGTACGCCGAGTACGCTAGCTCTCTCGTAGCTGTTTGTAGCCTCTGCAGGGGAAGCCATGACTTGCACCTCTACACTCGAGACAACTCTCGCCAGCAAGGATATTGCTCAGTGTGCTTTCAATGCCTACAAAGACTGTGAGTCCAGAAACGTGAATATACATCGTTGATTGATGAAAAATCCTTCACAGACTCCAGCCTACTTTTTGCGAGCTGTTCAAGTGTAGACTGCCATGTATGGCGCACCTTGTTAGGTTTGATATGCTCGATCAGGGTAGATTTGCCGCTGTTGTCGAGACCCACCACGAGAATGCGCATGTTTCCACGGGATCGGCCCATAGCCGAGGCAATTTTCTTGAAGAGCCCCATAGTCTGGAGTATGACGATGCACCGCACACCAAGATTCTTCAGCGCTTTCACGTCCTGCCACTAGCAGTAAAATGCAGAGATACATAGATAGACATGGTAAATGTCGCGGAATATTTGATGAGTGGTACAATGCACACGTTGTTGTGTCGTAGAAACAGTACCTCCATGAACTCTATGGTAGGTACCTGGTCGCGATGGCTGTGGTTTGGAAAAGTTCGAACCAACACTATAGCAGTAGTCTAGATACATAGCAATGGATAACAAATGCCAACATCCTACATTGTACAAATATGGGAGTGAACCACTAACACCAGGCAACCGGACTATGTCTATTTTGGAGCATGCATCTGGGGGGCGCAATGCTACCTCTGGTGGCTCGTTAGAGTCGAATACTGACCCTCTGGCGGTGTTCGGCACTACTACTTGGCCAACCAGCCATTGTCAGTCGTGTGCCACCGGGCGAACGGGGGGCAACGCAGTCAACAGCGGTAGGGCCTTTTCGAGGGTAAGATTGATGATTGTGTGTATGGGATGCATGGAGCCGCATGTACACGACATGGTACATCAGAGCCTCGAGTTATACCGACGCGGGTGTGTATTGTACTTAATATTCACTGCTGAATGCCGCGCCGTGTGTTTACCTGCCCGAGCCTAAAGGGAACGAGGGAAGATGCTTTTTTTTACACGTCGCCCTCCTGCCAAACGCGTGGTCTTCAATCTCGTGATTGAGGTAGTCAGTCTGTTTCCCTTTTGCGCCCGTGGACAAGACTAGAGATTAATCTAGATCCGAAGGTGTTGTAGGGATTCAGCATGGGCTGCAACATGTGGTTAACGTGCGAGTTACAGCATGAATTTTTGCGAGTAGTCATGTCGCACCTCTACGGAAAATCAATCGGCAGTTTCAAGAACGCGCGGCCGGATTATTGGAACTCCGGTTATTTGAGCGAGAGAGCGAGAGAGTTGGAGACGGAAAGAGAGGCGATAGATTGACCACCCGGGATAGAAGTTTACCCCACACAGAACGGCGCCAAAGACAGAGAGCTAAAGTGATTGGGATTGAAGCACACCGCAGGCGAAGAAGTTGCTCCGAGGCAGACAGACGTACGATCTTTGAGGAGAAGGTAAGAAGCCAGTCAAGATGATACCTGCTGCTGTGTGTCTCGAGAAGGAGAACGGAAAAAGATTGGGGGGGGGGTGTGCATCGCCATCTGTCTTAATTTAACCCTCCCCTCACGCCGCTTAGCGTCGTCAACGGTCTACCAACATAAAGTCGGGACCATAGTAGCTCTGGGAAATAGAAAGGGCAGATGTTAGTTCTCGGGTAGGAGTGCTTCGGGTTGTGTCGGAGGCGGTGCTGGTGTTGCTGGTATCCCAAACGAAACCGCTACAAACGCCGTCTTCTGCCCAAGAGCCCGTCTACCTGTTGCAGGTGAGCAGCGATGACATATAGTCGGTACGTTCAATATGCGACACAGGTCTCCAACTTCCGGCACACACGGCGTTGCATTCTGTCGAGAGCTTTTATTTCGCGCAGTGTTTGTTTCGCAACAAACGATTGGTTGTAGTGTTTTCGTCGGGGAAGGACACGTCGTTTGTGGCGTGGTGGTTGATGCCATCAAAAAGTCTACCCGTCGAAATACACACACACGCCATGACGTACTGTAAATATAAATAGTGTGCCCCCAGGAAAAATACACCGCAAGATAGTCGAGGTACATGGTTTGTATGTACCATCACGTTTCTCCGGGACCCGGCATGATGTTAAGATAATTTCCTGCCAGTTGTTATGTACACGCTTTGTCGCCACGGATTCTGACCGTACTTCGTACAAAAACAGACTTGCCATTATGAAGCACGAGACCTGACCTTGCACAGGCAGTTTCCTCAGTACTTTTGTACTCGCAGCACTACTCGACAGCGGTACTACGATACTGCTGTCGTATCGGAATCTACGTCCGCAAGCAGTTTGCAATTTTGCGTTTCAAACGGACAAAGGCATCGCCATCCCAGCTGTCTGCACATCGATTGCGGTCACCTATCTCGCTCTTGCAGGGACGCGTATTTTTATTTTGGTATTTTCCAACGAAGAGGTGTGTGCCGTCGCAGAACTGTTGGGAGGGTGATCAGGTGTTGGTGGTGGCGTGGTTGGTGCCTGAAGCTGAGATCGACCCCGAGGCAGTCGAAGCCGGCTTGCAATCGAATGAACCCAAACTCATTCTAACCCCCGAGTAGTTCGGCAGGACACCCCAAAAGCGTCCCCTCACGAAGGTATAGCTGTCTACCAGTACCCTCCAAAGATGGTTAGAAAATTATGCAAATCCCGACTCGGACTCGGCCGGACGGCGCCTTGTCCGCTGGGATGATGACACGATGAGTGGAAAACTTCTGAGGCATTCGTCGGCGCCTCGCTTGGTCGGCGACATAGTTGAATGCCAAGAGGGAGAAACGATACTGCTGTAGAATTAATGAGCGTGACATCCGGCGAAGCTACTTCGCCAGGAAGCATCGCGGGCTCTCACTCTCCTCAGGACGGGAAACGCTGGTTCGCAAATCTCTACACATGGCATGATATTATACATTCAGCTCGGCACGGGGCCCGCGGACTCTCGTCCGGGGTGACCGCGACGCCAAGCCGGCGAAGCGCGCAAGCGAGCGAGCGGAACAGTTCAAAAGTCGGTACATATCGGGGGGGTCGTGGCGAGGTGTTCTGGTCAGAGTACAAAGCGGAGAATTCTGCGACAGTTGAACACTGCTGCACCGGCCTCTCTGAGTGCGCGTAATCTGTGCTCGGAGCGGGGGCCGAAAAGTTGGAAGAGCCGGTAGTTGGGTGTGTTGTGCACTTGAAGCGGCTCATAGGCGCACCGAGAGACCGTGAAGGACCAACTTCTGCTCTTATGAAAGTTGGCGAAATCGCTCGGAGATTGGTGAGGGCACAGGTTGGTGCGCAAGTAAACATCCTGTGCGGGCCTACTGCATATCATATACACTCGGGACGTGTACGACAGGAGGAACTGTTGCAAAAGTACGCCTAACCCTGGAGACCATGGAGATGGCGTCGTAGAAATGACTGAACGGCCGCATTGAAAAGCAGCAGCCCGGAGCCCCCACCGAACGCGTGTGACAAATGGATTACGTACATCTTGCTGCCAGCAGTTCGCCTACCCATGGCTCCCTGTCGCCGTTCGCGAGTGTGTACACACGTTTGGATGGTGTGGGGTGGCGCCCCTTGCTCTCCTGCGGCAGGGCATAGTCCGCGAGGTTTCAACAGGCGCAAAACTGAGCCGTCTTTTGGGCATCAAGCTATTGCTGGTCTCGCGGTAGCCCGGGGGGGTACAGCAGATGGCACCGCCGACGACCCACTCAAGCTTCAACACCCCCTTCTTTATGTTTTTTTCATAGTTTCCTGAGGGGTTGGTGTTGTCACCTGGGGCGTGCGTGTTTCAGGTCCCGTCTTGTCGACGTAGTCGGCGTTGGACATCCTATTTTGCGGTAGTTCAGCCCCCCTGTCGAGTCTCTTGCGGGAGCAAAGCAACAGAACGCGTTCGTTGTAACACCCGTGCCTTGTGGCCCACGTTGGGAAAACACCCCAACTGTACTAACGCATTACAATATCCTCACGTGCGAGCAAAATTTCAATTGTCCATAGGAGCAACTTCTTTGGTGATCACGGACGTGTGGCTATATTCAGTTGGTGCTATACTACCGGATGTGGGTGCTCTGTCGCTGAGAACTAACTGGCCAATGCGCCTCGCTGGTACTGCTGATGCTGACAACTCTGTCGCTGTGCTTCGATTGCAAACGGTATGTTCGCACTCCTTTTTTCAAGAACAGAGCGGAGTACAAGCGACCTTTGCTTGCCACATCAGCTGCTGCAGTCTTGAGAACTTATCTCGGGGCGGGTGACACGGCGAATTTTTCAGCTCCAGCCTACGGCGGACAAGGGAAGGAGCGGCATTACAGGCGTTCTCCGCTGTTGCATCCCCAACCAACTGTAGCCAGACAGAGCAGCGGCAGCAGCAGCCAAGATGTCGGAGAGGAAAGCGGTAATCAAGAATGCCGACATGTCCGAAGACATGCAACAGGATGCGGTAGACTGCGCGTCCCAGGCTTTGGAAAAGTACAACATTGAGAAGGCAAGTTCATTTCCGTACCATTCCGTTCGCAGGGTTTATCTCACGGGTCAAGTGGCGAAAATCATGTTTTTTGTCGCTGGGCTAATTAGTGGTCAAGTTGAGTCAAGCCAACGGAGGCAACGAAAGATGGGCAGTTTGCACACATGTGTGCACCATTTTTCATTTCTTTTGTGGTACTGTCTTTCTCTACCCTCTGTCGCTTTCTTTGGCGTGTGGGAGCTCCAGCTGGTGTTTGGTGCACCCCGGCCGTTCCTCCCGTGTTGCCGTGCTATAATACGTCCGGCCATGTGTCCCTTCGTTTTGCGCGTCAAGTGTGCTCTGCAATTCCGCCTCCGTCTCGCCTGCTCCTATTTACATTTGCTCCGTCCTCGCCTGCCACTAAGGTCGCATCTACACTGTCTAGCGAGGGCTTTCGCCTAGGGTTCGTGTTTGGCCTTGCCTTCTGGTATATGCTCAACTCTCGGTCCGCTTCTCGCAAGCTCAACCTATACAACCCTCCGTCTCACGAACCTCCCTCGTCGTGACGTGACATGACGTGTCGCGGTCTCTCCTCACGGGTACGTGTACCGGTCCACCGCAGGACATTGCCGCCTTCATCAAGAAGGAGTTCGACAAGAAGTACAGCGCAACCTGGCACTGCATTGTGGGCCGCAACTTTGGGTCCTACGTTACCCACGAGACGAAGCACTTCATCTACTTCTACTTGGGCCAGGCAAGTTCTTCCGAAAAACGGGTCGATCGATCGGCGTGAGAGCAATGCAGCTACCGCCCAGTAGATTACAACACTTCTGCTCAACACTGCATCGAACTGAAGAACTCGAACACGCACGTTTTGTGAGCCCGCTTGCGAACCCCTACACTAAGACCCATATAGCGGCGATTTGTACCGTAGGTGACACAAGATACCACCACCTGGATCGATTTTCAAAGCTCCATTATTTCATAGGAGGAGTGTGGGTGCCGGAAATGGCGGCTTTTTTAACCGTCTTGTCGAGATCTTTCCGAAAACGCGTCGAATGGGGTTGTCATCCTCATGTTGGTGTAGTCACGTATTGAAAATCGATCCAGGGCGTGTGGTATCTTACGTCACCTACGGTAGCCCATAAGAGGAACTATTGTAATCGTACTTGCAAGAACCACAACCACAGCCTCGACCAAAACTAGAGGAGAGGTTCTCAAGTGGGGGGCTATCGCTTTGTGGACTATTTTAAGTAGCCTGTTTGGTGGGCGTAAAGTGCAACCTGCTTCGGGAAAATCGATCGTGGCCGCTTGGGGGAAGTCTCACGGAACGGGGGGATGTCTGTGTACTATTTTCTCGCCGACAGTCCCTTTCTTTGGGAAGCTCGCGAGCACGCTCGCACCCTGTTGTAGTAGCGATCTACTCGACGACAGGTTTAGACGAATCTACCCGTGTTTATTTATTGCTTCTCGTGTAGAACAGCGGCGAACATGTCGAGCGCCCGGCGAGCTATATTTTGCCGAGTTTGACGCGCCAACCGGGGGTCACGACTATCCTGCACTTGTAGGATTACCGCAGTACTGCTGTACCCCTAAGCCCTTTCTTTTTATTGCACACGTGAACGGAGGTGTTGGACGGAGCTTGTTTCTTGGTTCTCCTTTCCCCGTCGAAAGCGTCTCACGAATATTCAACTGCGGCAGTAGCTCGGCTTGTTCGCCTCCGTTTTTCATCGTGGCTGTACGTACGTTGGTAGCGTGTGCGAATGTGTCGTCCCGACGTTAGTTTTCAGGACAATACAATGGGTTTGTCTTCATTCGCTAACTTGAGAACATCTCTTTCCGAGCCCATCTGACCCTTTGGAGCGTGTCGACGGCTTCTTTGCCTGCCCGTCCGCCTGGCCAATCAGGTGGCAGTTCTTCTCTTCAAGTCAGGATGAGGCAGACTCACGCAAACGAGACGAGATGAGACAAGGCAGCAGGCGCAGGCGAAAAGTATTTTTGTGTTTTGCGGCCGTTCTGGTGGAACCGGGCGCTCTCGGCCCGGGTGCTCCCTCCCCCCTCCTCGCATCGATGGGCTGAGCCGATTTTTGTACACTAGTCCCTATGGCAATGCCCCCGCCTCGGCCAACGGCAGCCGCTGCAGCAGCAGCAGACACGGAGGATGGGAACAAAGGCGACAACACGTTCAAGCCAGCTATGTGCGCGCAAGCTTGGATAGGCACGCGACTCCGCTATGCCCCCTCAGTCTGCGCCACCGGGTGGCATTTCTGCCTCTCTCGCTTTGTCGCGCCAATCGCGTCCTACAGTCTTGAGCGAGAGATAGGGCAGATTCGGCAGCAACAGTGACTTGAGTTGCTGTTGTTGTTTGTTGATGCGGCGCGGGTGGTGTGCTAGGTGGGATGCTGCAACTGAGGCCGTTTGTGTTTTGTTGAACCCGGCGGGGTGTGCGTGGTAATAAGCAGCATAGAGTGCCCTCCACCGCACGGCACGTGTTTTGAGAAATGGGATTCGCCGATCACTTTTGTGTAGATACTGCAGGCGGTGGGGATGCATGGATGGGTCGTCGTTCGGTTCAAGTGTACCGCACACACGGTAAACCGAGGCGGTCTCGTCTCGCACTTCCATCAGACGTTCTAGAAGCTTTGTAGGATAGAGGGAGAAGGCGGAGAGAGGGAATAATGGGCCCTACGATGCAAGATGGTTGTATCTCGTTGTTTTTCTATGCTGCCATGTTGGTGTGGGCCACGCGGATCGAGGCGCAAAATGAGGCTACGTGCTCATGACAGCACGTCAGATTCGGGGCAACGGCTGTGACTCGCTCCTAGGGTACTGGTACGTATTTCGATTGAGGTTACACGTTCGCCTTGAACCATGTGTAAGGTCATGAGAAAAATCGCGCAATTTAATATCAAACCACCTCAATTTCGATGTGGATCGCTGCACCGAAGGGACCAATACGTGCTGCAGCGGTAAACCGGGAACATGTGTGTGCAGGCAGCATCGACCCACCGTAAGACAATTCCTGTCTTTCGCGATAGGCTTAAGGACACACTAACATGCCGGCAAGCTCGTGATGGTTCAGAGCGCGGGAATATCGGTGTGTCGCACCAAGCCAGCGACACGGCCTTCTTGGCACAGCAGGGGGGGATAAAGAACGAGATCGAACTGCCTTTGCCGATCGATGGACATGGCAAACTGCTCCTCACGGTGTCGATGCACCTTGTCAGGATGCTCGTAAGGTCCCTGGGGCGAGAAAATACCTACGAGATGAGGGCCGACAGACGAATATGTGGCTTGAAGCCACGTCTGCACCAATGGAAGTAATCATCTTCGTTGAAGAGCACCAACCATAAAAAAGACAACAAACAGAACCACCAGATCCGGTTTAGAGGAACGCTGTGTGACGGTCGCACCAACATGGCTACATTGCAGCGATGGTTTATTACGGTGGCATCCAACCGCATGCAGCTCCACGAGAAGAGCAGAAGAAAGCGTTCAAAGAGAATAGATAGATATCGCCATCCAAGACAGACGTGGTTGCTGTACACCCGGCCACAGAATCTCCGAACCGCATCAAGCGGTCGCATTGCTGCCGTGCCATGTCACAGCAGTTAACCTTCCCGAAAAGGTTTTGGGACCAACAAAACTACACCGAAACGGCGGGGGAGCAAGGGCAGGCAGGCTGGCTGGCTGGCTGTCCAAAAGCTACGTACTCACGAAGCATCGAAAACAACGATAAATGTCAAGTCAACCAGCCGAACACTGAGGAGGAGAGGGGGGAGAATCATCTGTTTATATCCTCCCCTTTCGTCTTTCGACGTTACGCGCCCAAGAGCTCTCGATTCTCATTGGCACCATGCCCTTGCCCGCCACACACGCTGCTCCACGAAAGATCAACACACGCAAAAACATGTCCACGCTTAACTTTCCATGGTAGCATGAAAGAAAATACCATAATACAAAGTCGGTTCACTCTCGTAGTGCGCGGGAGTAAAGTCTAGCCTGGTCGTAACCATGAAAAATGCCGCCGCGCCACCTTTCCCTTGGCTCAAGAAATTCTTCTGACATACTTAAAAACTGCAAATTTGTCCAAAGGCACCTAGTTAACTGGGTAAGACTCCTCTCCGACCCGCCTCCCGGATCTCCTCTCTTCTAGCTTAGCACAGCATCAATGAAGGGATCAACGGTATCACATGCTGCACCACGCAGAAACGCAGCAAATGCTCGATCCGTCACGAGAGACACCACCAAAAACAAACAACTGAATCACGAGTGACTCAAGCACAAGAGCGATACCACACTGCTGTGGGTTGGCAAAGATGCCTGCACAAAACAAATCCTTGCAAGGGGCGAAGACAAAAAACCGATTTGGTCGTCGACGATATACTCTGGGATCAACAAAGCGCTGTAGGTACACACGAACGACGCAAATGGACAAAACCCTTTGGAGGAGTCCAACATCGTACAAAACCGCAATACAAAACGAATATGGACAACCACAAAAAAAGAATTAAAAGATAGAACGGCCATCTTGTCGCAAAATGATTTTTGATAACTATGATACAAAAAAACAACAAAAAAATAGAACGACCGTCTGCCACTGAGAGGGAGGACACACACAAGCCAGAGAGAGGCTGTAGGATGCATAACGTCCGTTGGGAACAAGAACAACCTTCATGGCTAAGGCTGAGCGTGAGACTGAGGGCAAAGACAAGAAGGCAAGAAAAGAGTCAAGCAAAAAAGCAGCTCTATCTGCCTTCAGAAGGCGAGACCTTCGAATTCGCGCCGCTTCCAACTGGCGTTACCGCAGCCTGGATGTGCCCCTTTTTCTTCAGGTCACCGTCAGCAGCCCTGATCAGTGGGGAGCACAAGGCAGGACGGGAGTTGGGAAGGCGTGCTAGGGGCGGGGGGCGGCACGCCGTCGTTTCTTCCAACACGAGTCTGAAGAGAAAATATGACGAGGTCTGACAGTCAGGAGTCAAAGGCGGCTTCCAATGGATTACCCTCAGAAGGTCCGTCGGCTTGCTTTCAACAATATATAACCCCAGGCCAACCATGAAGAAGGACATCAATGCTACATGAAGGAAAGTAAGACCTTGCCGTGGTTCGGCACGAAGCGAACGAGACATTCAAGATCGACCAAGAACTCGCCTCGTGGGAAAAAGAACGGCTGCGCGAAGATACAAGAATTGTCATCCTCTGAAGGATGGATGCAATTGAAAGTGGAATGTCCCAACTGGATCACTTTTTCGTCACTCGACTTGAATTCTCAGCGGCCGGGTCTACACGTCCCATTGCAAAAGCAACCTCTTGAGGCCAACGAACTACTCAATCAAGTCACTTGCAAGGGAAAAGAAGGAAGAAAACAAATCGGTTGAAAGTTACACCATACTGCAAGCTAGAACAACCCCACCTAAAAAAACACACAGCTGCAGGTGTGGGACGGTTGAAACCGGAGCATACAATTATGCTGTCCAAGGCTTTCGTTCACCTGTAGGATGACGGGCCCACGAGGCTGAGCAGGACAGGAAGAAGAATCAGACCGTGCCCCAGACCCATGACGGCGGTCGCAAAGAACTGCTTGAAGAGCACCTGTGCGCCCGCCCGCACGCCCATCGGGAAAGAAAAACAAACGTTTGTTGATGCAAACATCAAAAGCGAGGAAATATCATGGCTAGCTAGATACGGCGGGAGTGGCGGGAAAAGCCGACTCTGCTGTCTCGTCTTGAAGGAAAGTGCGGGCAAACACCAGGCTGGCGCCAACTTCATGGAGGCCACCCATGCACGTGTTTGGCTGAAGGCAGCATGCCCGATGAAAACAAATCTCAATGGTCGCCTGCGTCGATGTGGGCTTCTACGGACTGGTATGTCGACAGGTTGGAAAAACTTGCCTGGAGTTTCGACACCAATGCTACACTAGCTAGAATTGCATGCAACAAAGGTGCTCCTTAGAGCATGCGCTGCTTGGACGTGGCCCGTTTCGGGTGTCCTTGTTCATGCGAGGATCTTCCCTTGTCCATGTCGACATGAGCAACTGTTTTTCACAGCAGCTTTTTCGGTGTCCCACGAGGTAAACGGCAGTCGCTTCTCATCTTCAGTGGTCGAAATGGCGGGGGGGCTTGAAGGACTTGTTTCGGGCTGAGCCACACGAGCTAAAAGCAACGGCATGCTGAGGTCAGCATCAAGGGTTTCCGGCCTTAACTCGGTAAATTACTACTATTTATTGCACACACAAATTCAACCTAAATGGCGGGGGAGGAACAACCTTCTTGTTCCACACACATATTAAAGCTAAATCGTGGGGGAGGAGCCACAGGAAGAGTTGTCAGGCAACAACCAACCCTTGCTTGATCTCCTCGTCCTCTCGACTCTCACCCTGAATACGTAGGAGGCAGACAAGGATAGCAGTACCACCGCCAGGAACGTCGAAACCCCACCATGAATCACAGCCACGCCGATGTCAGCAAGAGCCTGCAGTTACAATACATGGGCGCGGGGGCGCGGGGGGGAGAAGGCCAAGCAAATAAGCACAGCGGGGGTACGCCACCACAAATACATCACACCACGTGAGGCCCCACGTAGTACATATTCGTGACCAGAAGGACAACACGCAACAGGTCCAATCGCCCCTTGGGGGAGAGTCTTCTCCGGCCGGCCAAAGCGGCGCGCTCATGTCCATGATCTCAAACAAAAAGCTGCGCAGCAAATACGGCACGAGAACGAGCACTACAGCAGCAACTAGACTATCCATCACTCGCCGCACCTGGACAGCTCTCTCGTCCCTGGTCCCCGTCTTGACCATGAAGGAATGCGCCACATGTGCCGCGTAGTCGACGGAGAGGCCGACCGCCAAGACCAGGTTGATCACGGCAATCGTGTCGATGGATAATCCCCAGTAGTACCTATCAAAAACGGACAACCGATGCAGGAGGCATCGTTCGAATTGGGACAGTCGCAAACCAGTTTCACATGAGGTAGTCACAATCACAAACCAACCTAGGTAGAAACGGTGTCAAACATTTATTCCCACCTGCGTTCCTTGGTGTCGGGGGGGAGGGAGGGTCTCGCTTGACTACGATTTGTACAACCGTTACGCAACCAAGGTTGACAAGGCGAGAGCTTCCACTGAAGAAAGGTTGAAGACAGATGGGGGGGTGACCAAGGCTAATGCTGCTGTACAGCAAGGGGTGTTATTTCTGGCGCAGGGTGAATTGAAGGGGTCTGACAACTTTGGGGTTGCACAAGGCAAGGCCAGACTATGCAAACGCTGCAGACGCCAGGTCGAGATGCTATCGAGAACATCCAAGATGTGTGTGTGTGGCAGCCCCCGGCGGGCAAGAGATAATCTGGGCATGAAGCCGATAGACGCTACAGGATGTGTACATGAAGACGGGGCCACCGCTTGATTGACAGTCAAGTACTCGAGGCTTTAATAAACATGTACAAGGACATTATTTATTGGCAGACGAAGAAAGAAACTAGATTCTGTGTGGGTAGGGTACACCGAGACACTCGGTGAAATTGAGGACGCGGTGTGAGGTGCACCCGCGTGTGCATGGCGAGAGTCGCGGAATGCTATCTCCCGCACCCCCCGCAAACCCTTGCCTCCGACAGAACCAAAACAGATACGCGAGTGCATCAACATGCACCAGATCACACACGACACGGAGGCCCTTCAGCAACAACGGCTCACATGATCCCCAAAACGTCCACGATCGTGAAGGTCACCATGAGGAAAACAAGGCCCGCCGTGGCTGGATGCGCGATCAGGACAAGCGTCAGGACAAGCACCACCGCCAAGCACAGACCGAGGCCCTGGTACAGCTCCTGGTAGATGATCTGGAACGTCTCCCACTGAAAATACCTGCACCGTTCAGGACCCATTCCGCAGAAACGAGAGACGGAAGGGGTGGGATTGGCGGCGGGTGCTGCGTTTCCCCTATTCTTAGTTGAGCCTTGGAGAGGCTCTGGGCTTTCACCGAGAGTGCGCGGACGGCTATTTATTACGCCTTTGATCATCGCGAATACCCTGGACCAGCTAAGGGAACGATTATATACCAAACATACCATGCGTGAGCGTGGGGCTATCTATTCAAGCTATGACCCTGTTAATTGGGGGACTTCATGCTTGCCACGCGCTTTGCTTTTCCAGGGCAACAATTATTAACAACGATGATGATAGTGACATGACACAAACCAAAGAACTAATTTAACTGGTAAAGGAGGGTACGAGAAGAGGCGCTACGAAAGTAACACGTCCCGCAGCACCAAGTGCTGAAAGCGCCAACGCAACAGAGACAAACAGGCGTGTTTGCTCACCTTCCACTCCATGGGAACGCTTCGAAGCTCCACTCGTCCATCAGGCTTCTCAAATCAACCATCGCATCCACCTGCACAGGATAGACAGGCACCGTCAGGATCAACATTGTCACCATGCTGACCGGCATGGGGCTACACACATAAAACCATGCCATGGACAAACCCGACCGTCGCCGCCATGCATCCATCATGCACCACGGACTCACACGACGTTGCAAAACACGCGGTACTTTTAAAGATATTCCGTTGTGATCTTACGTTCCCATTCGAATCCCAAACACCAAAAGCATCTATATTCTTCACACGGCCTTTTACGTCGAAGGCTGCCGTAGGAGTGAACCAAACGCTTCCTTAAATCGCGGATCAGCCGTAGGGCAGGCACACGGGGGTTACTCTAGCACCTGCTTGGCAGCGTCGCCGTTGATGTTGCCGCTGTACTCGGACTGGATGGCCGCCGCTCGGATGCTCCCGTCGTCCTCGAAGACGACGTTGGCACTGTACTTGATACCATCGTCGGAGGCCAAGAATGCCGCAAGACTGGACTGGAACTCCGTTTCGTCGGAGAACACCGTGTATTCCCCGCCGAAGGCAGTGCTGCAAGTGTCCAGGAAGGCATACATAAACAGCACAAGACGAGCACGAGGTACGTGAAAGAAAGGGTCTGTGTGTGTGGCGTTTTCCAGCGGGAAAGGGGGGGGATGAAAATGTGCCGCGTTTTTCGCGCCTGTGCGTGTGCAGCAGCAAAAACATATCAGTAACCCACGTTCTCAAGAGCACAACGGGTGAAAAGTGAGATATACGGGCATCCTGAGAACAATAAAACAGAGACATGGGGGCATGGAAACGGTTAGGGCTGTGTACTGTTTAGCACTTCGTGGGTACTAGCAAAGGAAAAGAGAGGAGAGGACGGTAGCTGTACTGAGCAGTAGGAAGTGGTTTGACAAGGCGGGAAGGGATATCGTTGGGATAGACCGACTAGGGAAGACATTTTTGAGCCACGTCTGGCAAAGTAGAAAGTAACGATTGGCCATCGGTGGTCGGTCCTGTGGGAACAATGCTCCGTCCTCTCACGAACGCAAGGTCAATGGTTAATCGTTAAGGCATGCAAAACATAAGAGTACGCCCCCCCTCCCCCGGTCCTTGCACGTCATGCCACCGGTCCCAGCTGTGCACCTGCAGCTTCATGGCAGTGCTGAGCGATTGTTCCCCTCCGCTTCTTTCGGCTGGTTTTCTTGTGTGTTTCGTTGGAATATTATTCTCGGCGGGTGCTTCTGCACCCCATCAGGGTATGAGCTCAACCTTTGCTAGTACCCACCAAGTGCTAAACAGTACACAGCCCTAACCGTTTCCATGCCCCCATGTCTCTGTTTTTTTGTTCTCAGGATGCCCGTATATCTCACTTTTCACCCGTTGTGCTCTTGAGAACGTGGGTT